TTCAGCTAGTTTATCAGAACATTGGTTTTTTAATTTTTCCCAAGTTTGCTTCGCCTAAATTCCAACAAAGGATTTTTATCATCATTTTCTGAATTTAACAAAACAATTGGCAAGTGATCATTACTGCATATGTCTGCCAGTACCTCCCAAGGAAAATCCATATAGATTGATGGATCTCATATGGATAAGTCTATTGCAGAGTAGCTGTCAGTAAATGGATTTATGTAAGAGTTTTGTTATAAATACATAAATCGTTGTTTATAATTGTTGCTAAAGTCCTTCCTTTTTGGTTTATGTCTTTAGAGTCCTATATGGTGTTGTGACAGTTAAAGTTCCCTAGTATCATAAAGAGTGCAGGGAGTTGCCTTATAATTTCATGAATTTTGGCTTCATTTACTCATTCATTAGGTGGGATATATACCAAGCAAATATTTATTGGCCTATTTAGGGTCACTTTAACAGTAGTCATCTGTAAAGTAGTTGTCAAATTTATTTTACTTTGGAGTACATCATTCCTAACTAGGATAGATGTATCACCAGATGCATTTGGCATGGTTCTTTTGCTGGTATTCTTTTATATTCACTGTCACCTTGCTTAAGGAATGTTTCCTGAAAGCAATCAACTGCCAGTGACAAATCTGTTATTAACAGAAGCAGTTCATTTACATTTGCCTTTATTCCATGGCAGCTCCATTGAATTATCTTATGTATATCTGTGTAAATGTTTTCAGCCTTTAATGTTTTATGTGGTTTTGATTTCTTTTTCCTAGGTTTTCATTTGAGGGTTCAGGCTTTCCATTTCCATCTTTTTTAGTTTGTCAAATTGGTTTTACGTAGGAATTTGGTCATTGTGGATTTCCAGCATTTGCTTGGCTCATTCTGTTCTTTTGGGAGATAAGCTTTTCAGTCTGTCTTTCCTGGGTTTTGGAGGATGGATAGATGATTGCTGTAAGCTTTGTTTAGTAGATTTGGTATTTTTGGTAGGAGTGGTTTGTGTTTGAACTTTCATTTTGCTATTTGTTTTTTTCTTTATTATTTCAGTTTGTTCATTGTCTTTTTGCAGTTCAGCCTGCACCATTTCCTTGGAATATAGGCTTTTCAGTAAATTTGAAATTTGGGCCATTCATTTGGTCGCAAGTGTACAAGCTTCTCAATGAGGGCTTTGTATTTGTCAGGCTGACCTGCATTATTTGTAGTCTTATTTTCTGTTATTTTTGTGTAGGAAGAGCTCTCATGTAAACTTCTACTTGCCTTCCTTCTGAAAACGAGATGTTTCTTTTATATTTTACTTCAACAATCTCCCTTTCCTTTTTCCAGAAATCACACGTTCATGAGTATGCTGGATAGCTTTCCTGACAGCACATATTTCATTGTGGCATTTCTCTTCAATATGATCTGAATCCCTTTGGTCACATTTTCCATGTGTTGGGCAACTCCTGCAGCTATTCCTATAACATCCAAATTTTTGGCACCTAAAGCATTTTAGTTCTACTGGCTCAATATTAAACCCTATTTTTATGGGGGGGGGGAGGGTTCAAGTGTGCCAAAAGTAAAGCTATATGTGTCAATTATAATTGTTTTCTCCTTTTCTTTTAATTGAAATTCTATGGTAATTGCTGACCCCTTGGCTTCCTAAGGCAAATGTAATTTCCTCAAGTGTTGCCAGAGACAACTATCTACTTCTAATAGCTCCCTTGCATGAGGAAAGGTTTTAATTTTGATATTTTGAAAGGTCTTCATCTTTATTATATTTTCTGCATGTTTTCTATGTTCCACGTTAACCAGCAAATTGCCATCTCTCAACTTTCTGTTTTAGGATTAATCCAACTGGATAGAACTTTTTCAATCAAGAAAGGGGAAAGTTTTGCCAGCGGAGTTTCTTCAATGAGCACAAAAATCTTGAAAATTTCATATTAATTCATTTTTCAAAATCAGAGTCTGAAAGATGTCTTTTGGGGCTTTTTATTTTGATTATTCATAATTTTTGTCTATTAAGATTCACTGCCTGTGCTCCTCACCCACCTCGGAGCCAAACATTTGGATGAGTCAAGGGGGAAATCCAGTCACCTTGACAGCTCATGGCTACACAAACCAGAATACTCATATTTAAGAGACTGTGAGCACCCATTAAACCACTTGTTGCACTTCTCAAATAAGTGTACAAAATGTCATGTTCACAGCCATGTCTAAGTCTAGATCTCTTTGAACTGATTGACCCTCAGCACCACCTTCTAATGCCTATAAATTGGATAGGGATGTTATTTTATCCTAGTGTATATTTGGGGTATTGATATAGTTATAGGCACTAGGGATTGTCATGACCATTTGATTGATCGGATTGTGCCTCTGACCTCCCATCTAGTCCAAGTAAAGGCCAAAGTGGTGTGTTGGGAATCAGAAATAACTGACTCCTGAGGCCCTCAACCACCAAGATCCTGTCTTCAGACATTATGGGTCACCACCCACAGCAAACAGGTGGCCTCATTGAGGTGGGAGAGGGGTCTTACCCCTCTGTAGAAGTGCAGTCGGCATAATCTGAAGCCTCAGCCAACATGGTGGTACTGATCTCTGATGCAGATAATTAGCATGATTTTCACTAACAATGAATATATAAGCCTAATTCTTTGTGTTTGTTAATATTCATTTACCTTTTCAAAATAAAATCATTTCTCTATTAATTTTAACCCATTATGTCCCAAAAATTAAAAACTTTGAAAGAAAATAGGACCTTCAATGATGAATGGGAATTGCAATATTTTTTTAGTGTTTAACAGTGATAAAATGTCTTTGCGATACTGCAATTTCATTAGTTAAAAAATACAATCCACATCAACATTATGCTGTTCATAAAGACAATAATTGGAGGATGAAGCACAAAGAAACTAAAAGATGGAAAGCAAAAACAGTTATTCCATTCTATATTAAATTCTGGAAATGCTGCAACAGAAGCAAGATATAAAGCTGCATATTTGCTTGAAAAAAAAGGTAAACCATTCAGTAATGCATTGTTCATAAAAGAATGCATTGTATAAGTTATAAAATGTTTAAATCCTGATAAAGTTAACAAATATAAAAAAAGTACTTCTTTCAAGAAGGACTAATTCATCATGAATTGGTCTGTAATGTAACAGAGCAGCTCCAAAATATAATAAAAAACCAATGTATATTTCTCCTTAGCCTTGGATGGATTCGACAAGTATTGTATTTCATTCATGCAATAATTGACAATTTTCAATTATTTAAAGAGTTACTTGTTTTAGGCATCCTTAAAGGAAAGACATGAGGAATAGATATTTTTAATGACTTCAAGAAGAAATGTCATTGGGTTGAATCTTACTAAATTGGTAACTGTGTGTACTGATGGTGCTCCAGTTATGATGGCCAAAAATTAAGGATTCATTGCACATCTAAAAAGAGAAACCATAACGCCAAATGCACCGATTTCTTTTCATTGCGTTCTGCACCAGCAGCATGTGTGTGCAAAATCTGCTATTTTAAATAACACCTTACAAAAGATAAGTATTGTGAACTATATATAAGCAAATGCCATGAGGCATCATCAGTTTCGAAACATGTTGATGATAGATGACAAGGTAATTAGTGTAGATTTGCCCTATCACTCAGAAACATGCTGGTTATTGCAAAAACATGTATTGGTCAAAATTTTGTCTTTACAAGAACAAATAATTGAATTTTAAAAAGGAAACAAGTTTTGTGAATTATCAGACACAGAGATGCTGCATTTGTGTGTTATGTAATGACAAAGCAAAATGATTTAAATATTTTGTTGCAAAACAGAAATAAATCAATATATATGTGGTAAAAAATTCTTTCATTTAGAAAGAATTTATTTTTCAAGTCCTTTCTTGCTGAGTAAACACTTTCCCTACTTGTTGAAAGTAATGAGTGAAAGGGAAGAGAATATCTATGAATCTTTTTAGGAATACCAGTCAGTTTTAGACTCACTAACAGTACAATACAGCAGAAGAGTCAGTGATTTTTGAAAAGCATAATGTCACTCTGAAACTTGCTTCTCAGCCTCACTTAGGTAACAGCTCCCAAGGAGTTACAAATAGAGCTTATTGATAGTCTGAAAATAATATTCTGAAAAATGTTTGACAGCAAGAAAGATTCCATTGAAATTTGGAAAAGGGCAATAGTATATCCTCCCCTTCATGAATATGCATGCCAACTTATTTCATGTTTTTCTTCAACATACAGTTGTGAATCCACAAATCAAGAATTTGTTGAGAACACAGTTGACAGATGAGCATTTTTGACCAATTAAAACTAAAAGTCACCATGTTAGAGCCCGAGAGAAAAATACTATCTCAAAAGAAACAATATCAAGGAAGTCATTAATTTGGCTAAAAGGTGAGTAAGGTAATTGTTTGAACTGTTTTTATTAGATTATATATTTATTAAATTCTATGCATTATTTATGCAAGTTATAAAATGTGTAATTTAAAAAAAAAATAAATAAGAATAATTTGGTAAATGCATCCTCAATGAGACGATGAATTTCAATGTGGCTTTCATACACAAAACAGTTTTCCACCCCTGATTCAGAGTGCCAGCTGATCTCTCTGCAGAGTCTATTATATTTGAAAGGAAAGAACGTTGATGATGTCTATCACAAATACAAAAGTAAAATACAGGAGGAAATAGAATGAGAAATGTATGTGTGTGTGTATATATATATATATATATATATATATATGAGAGAAAGATTATAAACTTGAGGATAAAAGAGAACTATATAAAATTTCTCTAAAACAGAGCCATGTGAAACTAAACTCTATAAAAAAAAAGTTTGGGTGGAAATCAAGATATTACAAGCTATGTATTAATCTCTAAAGCTTATTCAATCTTAAAGATATGATATTAAAAGTATTTTCAGTGAATAGCCATATGCCCAGTCCTGTATATATGATGTTTAAGTTTAACACTGGGAGGGGGGAATGCAAATTAAAATTCATAAAAACAAATTGGATACTTACATCTTGCAACTTCTTCTAATTTGAGGACTAAGGATTTTCTGGCTAGCTGCACTTCTGGTTTAGGATGATCAAACTCTTCTCGAACCCAAATGTCAGGGCTGACTTGAGTTTGTCGTTCAGTTGGGGGTTTGGGGGAGCTGTACAACCTAAAAGATAAAAAGCAGATTAGAGTTTAAAAAAATAAAAAGATAACAAAAGCAACTTAAAAATTTACTTTACTGAAATTTTATAATACAAATAAATTGAAGAAATCTATTAATTGCTGCTGAAGTACATTAATTTAATGTAAATCAAACTGTAAAATGTAGAAACTACACTTTTCTCAGAACAAAAGGAAATAATGTGACATTATAAATTTTACTACACAATTCAATGCAAAAGAAGATGCAATTTAAACAAATCCTTTTGTGAATAATGTACTCTCGAGTATACATAGTCAATAATTCTCAGATTTTACCAATGGAAAAAACAGGATTTGCAGCCTGAAATTGAACTATATTACTAGCCTTTAAAAACTCCAACATTTTTGTGATCCATGTCATTAGCATTCTATCAAAATGTATTTATCAAAAGTATGATATTGTTTTGACAATTAAATTTGTCACCAAATTAAGTCAGTAAACCTGTATCGACAGAGGATCAGTTAGTTGTGTGCCATGCATGATACATGCGTAGGCGATCATGTATCTTTTGATACATGACTGACAATGCAGATTTTTTCCTGCAGTAGGTTGCCATTTATTTCTACAGTAGACCAGTTACCATCCAAGGCTACAGAACCCAGTCTGTCCTGCTATTTACCCATAGCTGAGGGGAGAAGAAAAGGATTCATACCTTTCCCAAGGGTATTAGCATGTATGTGAATGTAAGGATACTTTTCTTATAAGCTTTCAGTAAAAAGCACTTATGTTACTATGATTTAATGTTTAAAATTATTCACTGAATTTATTAAGATTCCAACTCTTATAATATATCAATTCCACTAAGAAATGCACAAATAGCATCACAAGGACAAATTTATACAAGATATACTCTAGCATAAACAATGTAAGTAGAACAATCTATGCCCAGTGCATTAAATACATTCAGAGAAAGTTAATGAATATAATAGATATTTAGAGACAGAATTGTGTGTGTGTGTGTGCGAAAACCATACTATTGTTGAAAAATGATAAATAATCAAGATGAGGACCCTAGTTTGGATAAATCTTATTATGAAGCTAGCAGTTGTTTGATTGTATATGTTATGTCTAGACATTAATCAATAAGGATAACTTGATTCAAGTATGAACATTGTATAGAAGGTCACTGCAGGTCAATTTAGAATCAACACAGTTATTTTCAGTCAAACTGCAAAACTTTTACATGATAAACTGGAAGTGTCCAAAGTTTAAGTGTCTATGTAAATGAACTTATTTCTAAAATGTGCTATTGGACAAGTGGCTGGTCGCATAGAAAATGAAATTGGCATTGCCTTTCCAATAAATAAGGAAATACATGAATGGGAATAAATGTTACTGAAAGAAAGATCTCTTATTAAAAAAAAAAATTCAAAATAAATTAGTGCAATATTTAAAAAAAATAAATAAATAAATAAAATAAAAAGACTATTTCTAGAAAGTTTCAAAATTATAAGAATAGAATTTGTTTGTTTTTGCAAATTTTTATAAAGACAAATGGAATTATTTTCTTAACTATTTGGAAACAACCATTCTAATAGAATCAACATTTCTGGGTCAACTGAAGATTGTATCAATTTAGAAAAATGCTGACAAAGTATAATTAATTCTTGTTATTGTATTTATTTTAATAAACAAAGCTAATTAGTTTTGATAGTCAATGTATAATAAAGATAAGCTAGATTTTCTTTTATAAAAACATTTGCAAACAGCCAAATTACTAAAACATTAGAAACTGGAATCAAAAGTTCCAATTCTTTAAATTTAAGGAATGAATCTGGGAATTCCCATCTACATAAATTCCTCTACGTGTACAGAAACTAATGCTGAAATCCAGATTGAACTAAGAGTGACAAGTTTATTGATGAATCTTCCAAAGTCACTGAGAGTTTACTAACAATAACTGATCAATCCAAAAAACATTCTTGTTGGCTTTTCAAGACAAGAATGTTCATTTCTGATAGTCAATAAAACATCTCAAATATAGCAGTTTTTTGTTTTTTTTTATTTTTGTTAGTGATTATACCAATAAGCAACATAGATTTACTTCTAATATAATGACAACCACTATGAGGGAGAAAAAAAAAACATTTTCATTTCCAGTTCAGACATAAACCAAACTGCAGCAAGCATTTTTAAATTTTGGTTCCAGAGAATAGAAAAAATATTAGTTTTGAAAAGAAAGTGAACCGTTATACATTAATATCAAAGAAAATATAAAATTATTTTCAGATATTTAATTCAGAGAAGCATTTGCCTAAGATAATCAACATGTGATTTGAAACGAAAATGAGGAAGATGTATGTATAAAAAAAAAAGAAAAAAAATTAAATTCAAAACCAAAGGAAGATTATAACTTATATATGAGAGGTGATTACCCAAACAAAAATATGCAACACTCAGTTTGTTTGTCACTGTTAAACAGGATGCTGAGAATGCAATCTGAGAAAGTAAAGGAAATTTTAGAGCCAACAGGACATTACAACCGATGAATGAACAAAAATAAAGGGAAGGTTAAAACTACCAACTAAACTGCAATCTGATAAGAAACACTATCATCAATTATCCATGGATATACTTGTCTCACACACACATACAGATACTGATATGCATAAGTGATAGAAAAAGTGGCTAGTATCGTGTAGGAATCTCTCCAACGCAGACAAAGGAAACAACTCGGTATGACCAATTCTACAAGTGATCAGAAGACATCTGGAGAGATGTTGAGCCATATCATCTTGATAGAGGCCTGTAAGATCACTGATATTTGCAGGTGCAGAATTTTGCATGTGAATAAACCTCTCAACCAGAATAAGGCTCTTATCAGGTGAATGTGGTGACCACATCATTCATTGGTAGTCTGCAATACACTCCTCAAACTAATTCTGGGCAACTTGGGACCAATGATATAGTGCATTATCCAATTGGAATAACCCATCATTAGTGAGATACATGTAGCCCATGAATAGGCACAAATGTTCAGTCAATGATGTGTTTAGAAGGAACAGCTGGTTCAATCCATGACATAACCACACCCCAACACCATTAGAGTCCAACCATCAGCTTGCATAGTTTGACAACTGGAATCTATGACCTCATGGATTCTGCACATACCTGAATCTTACTATTAGATCAAAACAAATGGAACCATGACATCACCTCATACCACATATTACCAGCCCTCCAAAATTCAATTAGCAACATCGCAGCACTATTCAGTGTTGTGGTGTTAATAGAGGCACCATGGTGGGTCTTCTGCTCACATATCACATGGAAACTAAAGAACAATTAAATGACCTGCTGGATATACGTTTTGTATGTCCTGAATTGAATGTGGATATTTTTTTTTTTTTTTTTATCATTTCACCTCCAAGCAAGGCAATAAAGCCACTAAGATGCAAGGTGACAGTGTGAGAGAAAAAACATTAAGAAAAGAGAACAATAAAAGAAAAAGAATTAAGACAGAAGATAACAATTTACATCGCATATAAATCATTGGAGATCAAAGTTGACTGGGAAGCAAGAAGTCAGAAGAGGGTTCCACAAGAAAGAAGTGCAAGAGTAGAAATGGTTACATATAACCATTTCAAATGCAAAATGATAAATCCTTACCACCAATCTAGTATTGTGATTAAAATCAAAGTCAAGGTACCAAAGAGAAAAGCTCATCAGAACAGTTACCACTAAAGTATTTATAGAAAAGGCACAGGGAAACCACGTTATGGCAGTGAGAAAGTGACTGAAGCCAAAATGCCAGGTCAGGACCAATAACATTGCAGATTCTTTTAATTTTATCAAAGAATCTCTAAATAATTAGCAGGAGAACTAGACTAAATATTGTAGCCATATTCAATACATATGCGAATGGTAGACTTATAAATGTGTGAGACAGAATCTTGCACAACAGAGTGAACCAACTTTTCTAGCAACAGACCTAGAAATTGATTCAATATAATCTTTCCACTTAATGTCACTGGAAAATATTAGCCTGAGAAGGTACAAGGGGTCACACTCCTGGAGGTTAGCATCAGCCATGCTGATAGAAGGCAAAAATCGTTTTCTTAAATGATTAAAAAGAGAACAGTTTCATTTTGGAGTTGTTAAAATTAACAAGTCATTTCTTGTCCCAGTTAACAGATTGTAGGTCATTTTTGAGATCAGCTGCCAATCTGACCTTACTGAACTGATCAGGCTTACTATTAAGACAGGAGTAAATAGTTGCATCATCAGCATAGATAGAGAGTTGAGAACTGATGACATCAGGAAGATTGTTGATGAAATTTAGGAATAGCATAGGTCAAGGATAGAACCCTGGAGGACACCTGCATTAATGCAAAAAGATCTAGAAAAGTGGCTGTTCAAAACAATTTTCATTTTGCAATTTGGTAAGAAAGATTGAATCGGTTAAAACATTGGTCCAGAAATATCATAACCTTTCAATTTGTAAAGAAGACCAGTATGACAAACCTTGTCAAATGCCTTCAAGATAGAGAGCAACAGACAGAACTTCACCATTCTTATCTAAAGCTTGACAGCAATAATTGTTTATACATCAGCAGTAGACCTAGAGAAGAAAAAGCCATATTGCTTATCTGAAAGATCTTGCAAGTTGAGATGCTTAACCAACCCAGTATTGATTAGAGCCTGTAATACTTTGCCAAAAAGAGGTAACATAGCAGGATCAGATGATTTGTCAGAGTTCTTAAAAACTGGAACTATAGAAGAGGATTTCCACCAAGCAGCTAAGCAAGAAGCACCAAGTCATTATTTGGAATATCTTTGCCTGACTTTCCATTTAGAACTGAGTGTCTGTTGTGTGATATGCATATGTCATCCATGATTTCTGCTATCATCTCTAAACTGGATCCTCACAAAGCATATGTAATTACTTCTATAGTCTTTAAATGTGCTCCTGAACTGGCCTGTTCTCTATATATTCCAAATAAGTCAAGAGTAGAATTTGAAGA